GCTACAAGGTGGTATGCGTCAGGTATGGTAAGGGCAGCTTCCAATCTTACATCAAATGGTCATAAGGCCTTTCCCGTTAGCGGTTGCAACCCACCGATCCTTCTTATTCTTAAACTTCTCAGGATATTTCACCTCCTGCTTCTTTATCTCGGTCTTTTTCATCTTGGCCGCATCGATCTTAAAAGCATCCTTCTCACATGCCTTCTGAGAACCGCCTCTAGATTTCTTTCTCAACCGCCTCCGGTCGATGAGCTGCGCTTCCTCGACAATATCCTCTTCACTAGAAGCCGTAATGACCTCAATGATACAAAGACCCACCTTAGCAGGGAGGTGGCCGGATGTTTCAACCTAACCTTGGTTAATGGATATGGCAGGGGTGATCAACTTGAGAGTTTAGCCGGGAATCTGATCTAGAGGGTGCATCTCGGCGTTCCAATGTCGTTTATCCTAAATTCTACGAAGACGAGAAAAAATTTATGATTTGCACTCGAGATCGGCCAAAATCACTTGAAATAAGACATAGACTAAAACTCTTACCGATCTTAACGCAAGCTCGTTGGTCTCTCTTGACGGAGAACTTAAAGCATTGGTGGTTTGTTGGGGTTGGATTTCACCCGCTCAACGTTAATGTTCAAAGTTTGGTTGACATGACCCTTAGGACTCTTAACTCCTAAGACTATACAGCCCCTAAGTCATTCCGCGAAACAGAACAGGTGATCACGTCAGGTCTTCGAATCCACCGATGGTGTCACAAAAGACCGGGCGTGGAACGACGCCGAGGACTTCCTGCGGGTGCCACCGATGACCCGAAGAGGAGATGACAACGATGACCTCTTACGGAGCACCGACGACGACCTCTTGGCTCTTACGAAGCGGCGACGATGATCAACTGGGTTGGGCTTCGGCCCTTAACCAGCTAAGAGGATAAGTCCAAACATCTCCAGGAGATAAACATAGCGGCTGCAAAGCGACGACGTAACGACCGTGGGAGCTTGCAGCCTCAACACTAAGGCCCAATCCAGTTGTGAAGTCCACTTTGGCGCAACCAACGTAGACAAAAAGGAAATCTGCGAAGACTTAGGAAACTGAGCATAATCGTTTATCAAAAAGGTTTAGCCGACTTAGGAACGCTATATATATCAATGTAAAAACCCTTGTAAAGAGATCCGCAACTTTGTTTACAAAAGCATAGACAGCAATAACAAAAACTTTTCTTAGCTCTTGTTGTCTTCATAGCTTAACCTAGAAATCTCTGTTTCTTCTCAAAACCCTTACAAATATAATTGTCATAGTCTTGGCTGCCACAATTTGGCGCCATCTAAGGGGATACTAGAGAATTTCTGACACAAAAAGCTAGGTTACACACAAGATTTGGGAAGATGAACGACGAAGAGAACAAATCAAGCAGCAGCGCCGAGGAGTCCTTGTCTCACAGAACCAACCAAGAAGAGGAGAACTCCGTCGAAACCCCTGCTAACGACGACGCTGCTAACCCTGGAGACATGACCGAGGTCAAGCAGATGCTGCAAACGCTCCTGATAGAGTCCAACGAGCAGAAGAAGTTCAACGAGGTAACTACGAATGAACTGAAGGCTCTTTCGCGAAGGAAGCGCGAAAGGCCCGACACGACTGGACTTAGGGGTCGCTTCGATCCGTGTCGCCTCAACTTCTCCACACAGCGTGCTGCTCGAAGGGATCCGGGCGACTTGCCGCCAACACCGCCACGATGGAAATCTGACAGAACTCCGGAGCGCGCCGAGGAGATCTCGGATGAGGGTCGACCAGCTCCTCGAAGGTGTGCGCGAACAGACAATACAGGTGGTACCCCACGTGAATCGCGCGCTTCAGATTGTCAGACTGCATCATCGTATTCTTGGACGAAAACCATGCAAGACACTTCGGGGTACGATGACTACCCCAGCACCAACAATGAAGGCAGACCCTCCGTAGCAGAGCAATACAAGAGGGAGCAAGAACGCAGGGCACTAAAACAGTCTCGAGATGCGGAAATCGCTGCGATAAAGGCTCAGATGGAGCGAGTCATCTCCGACCTGAAGACTACCCAATCGCAGATGCACCATAGCTTGGGGAAGGCTCCTGGGTCGCCTATGTGCTCGAGAAGGCACAGAACACACCCTTCGCTGTGAGGATCACGAGGGCTAAAATCTCTGATCCCGGAAGAATCAAGCTTCCAATCTACGAAGGAACCACGGACCCTTAGGACCATCTGATGGGGTTCGAGGTGGCTCTAGGGAAGACAAACTTCAAAGAAGCTGAGAAAGACATCGGCTACTGCAAGGTGTTTGTGGAAAGCCTTAAGGGGCCTGCCCTCCAATGGTTCTATAAGTTACAAAAGAACTCAATCCACACCTTCCATCAACTCTCAGAGATGTTTGTGCAGCATTACAACATCTTCGCAGAACGGAAGATCTAAGACGCGGAGTTATGGACGAACAGGCAAGGTGAGAATGAAAGTCTATGATCTTTCATGACAAGGTTTAAACACACGTTGTCAAAGGTGGACGGTATTAGCAACACGTCCGTACTTGAGACCGTGAGAGGAGCTCCGATGCCCATCTCCGTTCTGGGAGGAATTGACTATCAACCTGCCGACAACCATTCAAGACGCACTTTACCACGCTACAGACTTTGCTCGAAATGAAGAGGAAGTCCGCGCCAAGAGGGGCGGAAAGTCTAAGCAAGCAAGTGAACCCGCTCAGACTGCGATCTCTGCTACGCCAAAGAAAGGCAATCCCGCC